ATGTACTGTCTTCCTGTATTGTTTACATTCTCAGTTTGCACATGCATAATTGCACATTGACTGTTGACTGCTGCACATGCTGCTCCCATGTAGCATACATTCTCTTATTATATTCTTACATGTTTTTATCATCTCTCTGCATTTGCTGCTTAAAGTGCCTTAGATTTTGTTACTTATTTATCTACCTTATATTTAATTTGTATTGTGTGGAATCCATGTGGATGGCAAAGTAAGAATTTCATTGTACAGGGAAATACATTTCCGTACTGTGTATATGACAATAAGCACTTTGACTTGACTTGGCTTGAGGGCCAACCCCGGTGGACCAGAGTCGGAAGTCCACCTCCACCTGAAGGACAAAGGGCAGTGAAGTCCAGATCCTATCCAGAGAACAATCGCTGGTTTGAGAGAGGAGTCAAGGAAACTATTTTTGTCCAAATAGAACACCCCTCTGAATAGGGGTGGTGGACTAAGACACAACTTGTCATCCATCTACAACTCTGTTTTGAAATCTCTGCCCAAACATTCTAACAAAACCAGGTGCAGTTGAAAAATTCCGCTTTTATAATGGCACCGTGGATTATTTTTAAATAAGCTTCATTGAAAACATACATAAACAAAGCAATGTAACATTTTACCAATATGGTGGGAGTACCAGTGGATGCCAGGCAAGCTCACATGGTCACCGAAGCAAGCAAGAGGCCCAACACCAACAGGGTCCTTAAACTGTCGCTTCATACTTTATTTTGTTGGAAAAAAAAGTCTCACGAGCGAGAGTTTGTGAGATGTGTATAAACTGAGTTGCTTCTGTTTAGAAAGACTAGAAGATATGTTCACCTCCTTTTTTGAGCTTTAGGTCACATCTAAGATGCGAATTCACCACTGTAACATTATAGATACTGTAAGTCAGAAAACAAGGAAAAGCGCCACAGGCTCTTTAGTGAGAAAATCTCCTTGTTTGATTTAAAACCACAATGACACATGGAAACCATGCAACTAATCTATAAAAAATTGATCTTTATTATTTGTCACATAGCCATATCAAGAAAATCCTACAGACACCCATCATTCAGATGAACTGATAAACTGACCTCACATGAAACACGAGACCAACTATCAAAGAAGAATAATTACACTTACAGTGCTGCTCATATCATCTGACACACTGAGGACAAGAAAAAGAGAGTAACAGGGTTAAAGTGAGTCATAAGACCACAACAGATTGTAGCCACAGACAGGAAATAGAGTTGTGTTGAGTTTATATCATACTTTTCAAACTGTAGTTACCAGCAACCAAGTGATTAAAAGCTTTATTATTCACAGTGTGAGATCTGGATAATTTCTGACAATGATAAAATTTCAGACCTGGTGAGAAGAACTATAGATGTGATCGAACTTTAGGCAGAAGGCTGCAAATATGCCAAAAAATAAAATTCTGTAATAACAGTGATACAACCTCCTGCTTGTCAGGATCTGGTTACACTTTATACGCAATAAAATACGTAACCCGACGACAGAAGCAGATTCATTCTGTTTATGTGCTGTGACAACAAAGACAGCACGAGGAATAACACCTGGAATACCGTGTGAAAACTCGCAGGTGATAATAGTAGCTATTTTCTTCACATCGTGCTGATATTGAAAACAGCATTAATAAGACAATAACATATATCAGATCACAGTGATTTTCACACTGAAACGGATTCAACAGTCTGTCAAGATTCATTGGCTGACTGTAGCGTCAGGCTAAAGCACTTGTTAGCTTAACCTGTCAGTCACCAACCCTCCCCGTTACCATCAGACACTGATGTTAGCTCGTTTCCACCACGGCAATTAGCCTCTACTTAGCTTTCAGGTACTTAACGTTATCTGTTAGCCTTGTGGTAGCTAGCAGCGCCTATAGCAGGAGTTGTCTTAAAATCTGTTTCCTTTTAAAAAAGGTTTCCTGTTGCGTTGCTCTCTGTCGTTTACCGCTAATTTAACTTTTATTTAAAAACGATTTCGGTTAGTTTCAACTGGAGATGATAAGTAAAATGTTGTATTTTAACCCTGTGATCAGTTAAAGTTTGAAAGTTGGGGGTGGGTGGGTGGATTCTAACAAGGGTTAATCGTTAAAACTCACCGTTTCCTCGCCTGTTAGCAGCTGTGTGGTTAACCAACGGTGTTAATGTTCATACATGTAAGCACTTCAACATCAGAATGACAAACGTATAACCTATTTTTTTTACCGAACATCTGATGCTAACTTTAGCTACTACTACCGCTGGTGTCACCCTTTTTTTCTTCTTCTTTGACGGAAGTCGGTGACAGTACTAGGATTACCATCGCCCCCTGCCGTGTGACAGCGTAAGTCACAGTCTCCGCCCCTACAAGTTAAAGCAGAATTAACTTCTTCCACTATGGCTCATTTCCAGAACAGACCAGGGAGGCTCCTTGTGTAGGCCCAACCTAGACTGAGGGCGGAGCTGTCAGACCCAAGAGGGTCTTATCTTCTTGGGCTGCTCCGCCCTGGACAGAGGTACAACATTCAACAGCTTTTAATGAAAATTACACACATGGACCAATACCTGCTTTTTTCAGTTTGTCAGAGATGGAGAGCATTAAAAGTATCCATAGGACTAAAATTTGACGCAGATGTGGCTTTCTTCCTGCTAGACGCATAAATACTGTAGCTGGCTTATGTGTATGTTGGCACCATTAGCAAGCTAGTGTTGACTGACAGCAACATTAGTGTTTTGTTGTCCAATTAATGGAAACCACTGCGTTTTCCTGGATTAGCAAATTTTTTTAATTTAAATTTTCCTCGGTTTTGGCCCAGTTTATGTCGGACATAACACTGCAGTCTGTTAGATTCTACGCTTTTTGTTAGAAATTAACCCAATTCTTTTGTTGGAAGCACGAGAAGTGAAGACAGGAGAAGACTGTTTCAAATCAACAGAAAGTTTACTGAAAGTCTGATTACAAGCAAGTCCTACAGCACTGGATTCAGAGAGCCAGAGCTCCCGCAGGAAAACCCACTTCTGAATCCCGAGTCATGTTTTACAATGCATTTTATCTTCTTGGGCTGCTCCGCCCTGGACAGAGGTACAACATTCAACAGCTTTTAATCCTATTTTCCATTTAGCTTTTGATCCTATTCTCCATTTAGTGTGAACCGGAGCTCCCCTTGTTTCAATGTGTTAGAGTCTGGGTGTATGTGTGTGAACCGGAGCTCCCCTTGTTTCAATGTGTTAAAAGTCTAGGTGTATGTCTAGGTGTATGTGTGTGTGTGTGTGTGTGTGTGTGTCTCAGGGGGTGAGCCCCCCTGGGTGTGTAAG